AGGAAAGAAGCCGCTTACCTTCAGAAGGCCCCAGGTACGCAGAGATCTGCAGCAAGATACCCTCACCTCCACTGCCAGCACTTATATGAGGAATGGGAAGGAGAGGATCCTGGCTCCACCCCTTCTGGTCATTTGGCTGCACTGCATGCACCTGAGCTCCCCAAGGTTGGCCCTGCCTTCCTACCAGGTGCTCAATCACTGATTCAAGCCATGACTTAGCATTTCCACTACAAACCTAAAAAGCCATCTTTAATCACCTCCAAGAGTGTACTCAGGCAGTATAAAAGATTTGATTTTACTATATGGACTATTTTAATCCAAATTAATCACACAGCTTCTGTCAAAAAAAAAAAATTACTTTTATTCCACTTTCCTCTCACAGGAGAAAGACCAACTAACTGAGGCTAAATCAATAATCCACCCAGCCTAAAATACTCAGATGTCCTTAAAATACTTTCACTATCCTTTATATGAAGCATTACTCACATTCATTTCGTAGCACTGACAAAGGAAATCCATTTGGGTAGAAAGTACAACACTGGAGAATTACTCAGCAAATTACATAGAAGTGCAAGAAGCAGTAATAGCAGTGCAGACTTGCAAACTGCTCTGCCAACGTACATTAACCAGACCCTGAGAAAACTTTCCTCTGTGATGCCATCAGATAGAGCAAGAGGTTTAGATTAAGCATTTTTCCTTCTCAGAATGGACCAACAGGAAGAATGTCATTTACAAATGGATTGGGATCCAGTACTGCAACAAGAAATGGGATAACTAACCATATGTTAGCAGCACTGCTATGTAATATTCAAGTCATGGCATCCTGAGATTGGACTCAAACTAGTTGCAAACCATCCTTGCTTCTGACCACAGTTTAAAAAAATAAAGAACAAAAAACATTTTAATTTCCAGGAACAACTGTTTATAGACCATCATTCAGCTCTATTAGTGTTTTTATGAACTGAAAAAGGCTTAACCACATAAAACTAATAATCAAAGCTATAGCAGACTCAGGAGATTTTCAGAAAGCTAGTTTTAATTCTCAGGATACCACAGACTTACCTTGGTCCTCTTAGTAGGTGGTGAGGTGAACACCTCCAAAGAACAAGAAGGAAAGAACTATCAACTTGAACGAATCAGAACTACTGGGCTTTATTTTGAGCTCTGTCCTTACCTCTTTCTTTGACCTTGGACATATCACTTCCCTGCTAATCCGTGCCACTCTGTGGAATGCGAATAGCAGCTTTTATAAAGCATTTTGCTAAGTAGCATGAATATCCTCAGCAAAATCTTAGTGCTGTGCAAAGAACAACCATGTTTTGCTGAGCCAGCTAAAAAAAAGGAGCAAATATACTTTTGCTAGTTCTCTGCAGCATTAGTTAATGGGCATTATTCCTCTAACAATGCTGGCATATCTAGTGCTGGCAGACAAATTGAAACAGCTTGATTATTTACAGTACTTCACTGAAACCAGCAGGACTGCCCTTTTTGATCTTCAGCATTACTGATCGAACGTCTTCCCACGGCCAAAAACAAGACTCCAATCAGATGATGTTTCCTTCAGTGGGCATTTCCTACTGCTTTTTTTTTCTTTTCCTCCTGTAGCTCCATATTTCCATGATTTAGAAGCCTCCACACTGGGAGAGGCCTACTAACAATTCTGTAGCAGATGCTCAGTGGAGCACTGACACGCAGGAGAAGAGGCAAAGGTTAACAATACCACCAGATGAAAAGAGGAAAGAATCAGATGACTCTGTCAACAGATTAAAAAAAAAGATTAATTTCTTATATAAAAAGAACTGAGTCTCTTGAACCAAATGCAAGATTCATCCCCTCACAGCAGAACTGAACAGCTTCCCTGGGTTATCCTCCTTCTATTCTGTAGTTAGACAGCTAACACGGGAGATGGTAATTCCAGCGGAACACTCACCTCCCAGACTCGCTGCAAACTGACATTCAGCAAAAGAATTTCAGATCTCTAAAAATAAGTCACAGGTGTGCAATCTGTTCTGTAAAGATTTTATCCGCCCATTTCCTGATAACATCCAGCAATGAGAACAGGCAGCTCAGACCCTCACCTCCAAAGATTAAAATTCTAACTGAAATGAACACTGCTTCTAAAGCTTACAGGATGCTTTCTACACTGTAACTGCATTAGAATAATTTAAAAAAAAAAAATGTAAGATAACAAAAATGTCAAATAAATTAAGAAAAATGGTGGAACAAAAATAAGATGTTTAAGTTTTTGATTAAAAGGAAAACAGAAAATTGTGACAGAGTGTTTTTTGACTGAGAAAATCTCAAGGAACTACACCTCCCAGAATCCCCAAATAATCTCACAAGGTTCAGTCTCCATACAAAATGGAGTTACCTCCTAGAGCAATGAAACCCTATTCTTTACTACGCCATCCAAAATGTTGAAAACACTGTTGAGGTACCTACTAGTTGATTCCAGATAAAACTGCAATACCTCAGATTAAAAAGGATATTTTCAAATCCTGGTATGTAATTGGGTAATTTCTCAGACTTGCATTAAGGTGTTCATCTGACTAATTTCATAGTTTCAAATGTAATACGACTATTTTTAGAAGGTTCGGCATGAAGTATTGTCCTTATGCAGCCCGCATCTGCCTGAACACAGGCAGGCATCTGAGAGCAAAGCACTATCTGATCTTCTACTGCTCCAGCAGGAAATCTGACTTTAAATAAGCCAACTGTTCCTTCTCACTCCCCCATCTAACTCCCTAACTCTCATACTGATGACTCCTGCAGCTTCAGACAGTCAGCACAAGTCCAAGATAGCAGGTGGTTCTTGAAGACAAGACGTAGAAGAATTGTACAAGTAGTTATTACTAAAGCTAGGCAGTACAAATCAGTAGACCAATACAGATGCTCTCATGGTAGCTCTGGAGTACTGGTAGATGTTCAGTACATGGCAGAAGTTGCCTGCAAGAATCCTTTCCAAGATCTGGCGAGCAGAAGCTGTTCCTTCTGCAGAGATGCATTACTTTCTATCCAGTTGGTGGGTGAAAACTTGCACCAAAAAAAAAAAAAAAAAAAAAAAAAAAAAAGCAACAAGCTTGTAATTCCTCAGCCATAAAGCTGGTAACTTAATTCATTCTCAACTATCCACAGCAATAGGAAAGTTAGATACATCAGAAAACCACACAAAACACAAACAGTATATACATGGTGATCCAATAATAATTAGAAATTCTCCCCCGCTCTGCTCCAAACACAGAACATCCTGGAGTTATTCAACAGGCATTCTCATTGATTATTCCCTTCCAATTGTTTCTTCCCAAATGAGGAAAATTCTAGCAATTTATTTAGCAGAACCTTTCACTTCTCACTGAAGATTTACAGTGCAGCACAAATTATGTACTGCTGAATCATTGTGACAAGAGACTTTTTTTTTTTTTTTTTTTTTTTTTGCTGCCAGAACAGCTGCTTTCTAACACCCATATCTGAGTTTCATTGGCAATCCCGTGTGCCCGAGCACCTCTCACTGCACTGGTACATTTTCCTTTCACAACTAGCAGTCTCTAGTCTGAACGAAACAGTGAAAAGCCAGGACATAACAGCCGTTTATTTTAGAATTAGCTTTCCTTCTAAGCCTCAAAATGTTCAGACACTAAGCAATCAAGTCTTAACAGCCTGCTAGTGAAATCAGACAGTATTTGCTTAGGTAAGCAACTCTTAATTATTTCTTTTTCACAGATGAAGCCAGCCTTTCCTTAATTAACACAACCACTCAATCTTTCTTCTCACTTTATTAATACGCCAATACGTATTGCCACTCGAAAGGGAAGAAGTTTAGATACTAAGATTGCTTTGATTTTTCAAGAAAAAAGGGAAACTTTAGTAGCATAATACAGAAATAAATTTGAAAATTCCTAGTTTCTATTTTCAAACTCAGCAATAAAAGTTAATACTTGTGGCAGTAAACATACATCGTTAGTTCTAAAGGAAAAAAAAAGATTAAAAGACAAAAAAACCTAGGGAGATTCTGCAGACTTGAAATTTATAGCATCGTAATGGTTAATACCAGCTCTAGCAAATCTATTTAAGATATTAAAATTCCCATCTGTCAGACCTCTCTGCTAGATGTTACTCTCCTCAAAGCAAAGGAGGGCATGTGCCTGCATCTCAGCCACCCATTTCACGGTGCTTCTTATTAATTCAAGTCATAAATACAAATGGATTCCTACTAACACATCTAACTAAATCACTGCAGTTAACATGCAGATAGTTGATTTCTTTTATCATCTAGAAAAGAAATAAGCACAGAGAAAGGCCAAAGCCAAACAGTTGCAAACTGATATCAGGATGGAGATGATCATTAAGCCACCACAGCAGTTTGCTCTAACATTCATAAATAATGGTTCTGTATGTGCATTTGACTTCAAATAAAGTTCGGAGAAAAAAAATAGGAGAAAATTGGAGAAAAAAAAAAATTCTACCAAAAAAAAAAAAAGCTTCTGTCAACAATAGCTCTGTGAGGGACTGGGAGAAGTTCCCACTTAGTAGAGATTATCTCCCGTAAGGAAATTAAGCTTATATCTCATACATACAGCAAAATATAGCAAAGAAAATAAAAGCTTTAGGGTGTTAATCTTTCCAAAAGACATTTTTATCCTTCAAAAAAGTAGAAAGAAGGTGCACAGTTTAAGCTCAAAAGCACTTTCGAACACACCAGAATCCACTGAAATGCCAGAAGAACTAAGACATCATATGTATGAGAACTACTACAGAAGAATACTCCAATTACAGTTTTTCAGTCACTTAAGTCACTTCTACAAAGTAACAGCATTCACATGTTTTTCTGTGGTCTGTAGCACCATACTGTAGACAACTAAACCCCTCTCGGATTAAATTAGAGGATACAGTGGTTCACAAGAAAGGACTCCTAAATTAAGAGTTATTCCCCTCTCTTCTATATACTATTTCTTTCTGAAAATTGATCCCAGTTCCCTTACTGTTAATTGTATAGCACTTACTGTTGCTGGACTTCAGGTCACGGTGAATTATAGGAACAATTGCTTCCTCGTGCAAGTAGTTCATTCCCTTTGCAATCTGTACTGCCCAGTTCACTAAGATGTCAGGAGGTATCCTTTTACCAGACAACACTCTATTTAATGATCCTCCACGGGCAAACTCCATGATCAAGCAAAGATTAGGCTCCTTCAAACATACGCCCCTGAGGGCAATGATGTTGGGATGCTTTAACATTGCAAAGAGCTTGGCTTCTTGGCGGACATTCTCAATGGTCTGGCTGATGTCCTCATCAGGGTCATAACGAGCTGCCTTGACAGCAACCTCATCTCCTATCCACACAGCTCGATATACTTTTCCGAAGCCTCCTATGCCAATGATTTCCTCCAGAACAAGTTCTGAGAAGTCGATCTCCAAGACTAGGAAAAGAGGGAAAAAAAAAAAAAAAAAAAAAAAAAAAAAAGATGTAAATGTTTAGCAACTATGCAGCCCATATATTTACTCCAGTTCCATATTGCCCAACCTCACCCTTACCCTTATAAGATGGGCCAATTTTCTACCCAAAACTACACAAATGGAAGCAGTAGTCCCTTCTGATAATATTTGTTAAAGAACTAGTACAATAAAAAAGAACTTGTAGTATTGTAAAAACTTCCATAAAGTAGTCACTCAATGGTGATGATTTCAACATCACAGCTGTGTAAGATACACTTAAAAATATCATCATCTTAACATGCTGAAACACAGTTAAGGATAAATCCTAATTTCTTGCCATCACTGATAGTGCAATATTTTGAAAACTAAAACAAGAGACAGCCACATGCTAATCTCCACTGATGTGACTACAGTGCTTGCTGTTATAGAGTTAAATGTAAATATCAAACATCTTCTCTTGAATTCAGCCGTATTTGAAAGTTTTTATTCAAATGCCACTAACAATATTTTAATCCTTCCAAAATCAAGCTTATTCCTCCACACTTTGAAAGCTTTGCAGGCTTGTTTCCCAAGGGATCCGTTTGCCAATTCTGACAGTACTGACAATTGTGTGACAAACAAATGGATCAGACTGCATACTGAGCATGCAGGGCCAGCAATAAGGAAAACAATTTTTTACTACTGCATATAGCGCATAATAAGAATGCTTGTTTTCTTTTCTCTATTGTTCCACGAACAATGGAGTCAATGACAAGTCCGAGAAGAACCAAACACGTAAGCCCGCAGCAGTACTCGCGGGCAGCGAGCGCAGCGCGGCCAGCCCGCGGCCGGACAGCGGCGGTGCTGAAGGGACAGCTCCCCCCGGGGCCGCGCCGGGAGGAAAAGGCCACGCACGGAAACCGAACGGCGCGGGCGCCGTCAGCTGCACCCCTACACAAACAGTAACGCCCTGCTGGGCGCACAGCTGAAGCAGCCTGGGGCACAACAGCGAGATCTACGCTTCCAGGTGAAATTTAAGACACGACACTGCACGGAATTTTGAAATGAGTTCTTTTATTTGCAGGAACGATCTTTGCCGTGAATGTGTGCACGTTTCTTTAATGCAGACTGTCCTTCTCATCCTCAAAAGTAGTTTAATCAGGAAAAAAGCTCACTTTTAGACAAGCTTTTTAATTACAGAAGTATTTTGTGTTGATTTAGTTTAACTTCACAGAGTCGGTTGTACTGCTACAGTAGCACATAAAAGACTTCTTTCCCCTTATCTTTCTGAACACACTAACCCCTTCTCTAAGCTCGAGTTAATTTAAGACATGCTATAATAAACTGTTGAGACAATGGGAACATACAGGGTGCAGACTGTATTGCCAGAGAACTTAAGAAGCGCTATCATTGGTCTTGGACTGAAAAGGAATTAAAGCCTGTATGCCATTAACCGGTGGGGAAGTTGACAATTGCAAAGTAATCGTTGTTTAATCGGTATTCATTACACCATATGATTAAGCCACTTAGCTGAGTCTGTCATGCATAAGAGCCCATAGTGTAAATGAGGGTCCTTCAAATAGACCCATCGCTGACAGCCTGCATAGGGATGCAGGGAGAGCATGCTTGGCAGTTCTCCTTAGGGTATCGAGGTAAGGCTCCACTGAGAGCTGTCAGGATGGCTGGAAGTGTGCAGCCACTCAATACCACAACTCTCAGTGGAAGCAATATCTCAAGACCTTGCACTCCAACACCTTCATGATACATGAAGATAAACTTCAGGAAGCAACTAAAAATAGCTTCTGCACTGAGGTGCACATCTCTAGAATGACCTGCATGACTGCTACAAATTACTACTCTGAATTACTCCATTAAGCAAGTTAACAGTGGATCAGTACTCCAAATAGCCCTCAAGTTAGCAGTGCCAACACTAAAAGGGAGCATCACTCCTTGTGAAGGGCAGATCTGTGAAGTCAAGCTTCAAAATCCAGTTCAAAAGCAACCAACCTTTCCACCTGTCCAAATCTCACTGTTTCTTAAAAAACAAACAAAAACAAACACCACACCACCACCAGAATGCACATTAAAAACTTACTGCAGGGGAATAAATTCTATTGCATCATGAACTTATGGTTGCTTACTTGAGAAAAGAGGCAGTGCTGCCCTGTTAGGGCAACAGAAGGGTAAGATAACAAGGATAAAGGGAGATGGTGCAACTCCACAACTGTTCCAGAACTACCTTGCCTTGGAAAGTGTAATAGGACAGGAGAAAACATAGTGATAAAGACTGTGCTAAAACAGCCCAAAGCATGAGAGAAGCTGAGGTTTCAAGAATCTCTGTAGAAGTGGTTCTTCCCAGCTATCACGAGGCAAAACCTACTGAGCATTTGCAGCATCTTCTGCATTTCTGCATGAGGGAAAAAATACGCTATGCTCTTCCAGCATGAAAGCAAGCCCCACTGCTGCCCAGCAGTCTTTTCATATTTCCAAGAGTAATTCTACAAATTACTGAGCTCTCTACCTAAATGCTTTCAAGCAGATGTGGAATAAGGAGGAAAAAAAAAAAAAAAAAAAAAAAAGCAGCAGCTATTAGTTGTATTCCTTGGAGATACGTCCCAGATAGGACAAAGCATCTTCACCCCTTTTACTTTCTAGAAAAGATGAAGATTCATCTCTGCCTCCCCCCCCCCGCAAAAAAAAATAAAAAAAAAACCAACCCACAACTTTATTCTTGCCTGAATTGTCAATACCGACAGAAACAAGATTTAATAACATCCATTCCATCTTGTTTCACTTTCCGCAATTACACGTGGCAGCAAGAATAAGCAAAAATGAAATGGCTCAAAGGCTTCAAAACTGCTCTGAAATTAGGTACAAACCAACCCCTCCATACTTTCAGCATCACACCTTAACCACACAACTCTCAGGTAGGCCCAAATATCCAAACTCTGATAAAACTCATTCAGAGTTGTTATTGAGCAGCGTTTGTAACTAGGGAAATGGCAAACGGGAACCTGCTAACACAAATTAACATAGGAGTAAAAGATAATAGACTTCTGGTTAGGAGCAAGGAAAATAATGAACGAAGGATCGTTGCAGAAAGCAACCGCTTCCCACACAGCAACGTCTCTCTCCTTAAGGACATTCTTAAAGGGGAGCCACCGGAGGCCACACGAAGCTTCAGCCGTGTGAAGGTTTATAGCCCACAGAAGCACGGTATTTAACAAAGGAAAACGGCGATAACCGCGAACGCGGCGCCCGCGTTGCCGAACCCGAGAGACAGAAGACCGCCGGGCTGCCGACAGGAAAGGCCCCCAGACAGCCCCGCGCGGCGCACCGCCGAACCGCCTCGCGCTCCGCTCCCGGGGCCGCCCTCGCGGGGCCTTCCGTGCCTAGGGCCGGGCCTCGCCGCGCCGCTCCCCACAGCCGCGGCCCCGGGTACCCGCGGCGCCCCCCCCCTGCCGCGCTCCTTACGCTGTATGGCGGGGGGCGGCGGGTAGCGGGCGCGCAGCTCCGGGCCGCCCCCTTGCACGCCGCTGCTCACGTAGTTGCTGGGGAAGATGCCGACGCGCTGGTCGATCTGCCCCGTCCACCAGCCCTCGTCGCCGGACACCTGCGAGTCCCGGGACAGCACCTGCACCACGTCTCCCGGCCGCAGGCTCAGCTCGTCCTCGCCGCACGCCTCGTACTCGAAGACGGCCGTCCAGAGCGGTCCGCCGCCCGGCGGCTCCCCGCCGCCCGCGCCCTCCTGGCTGAGCGCTGTGAGGGGCTCCATGGCGAGGCTGCTCCATAGGGGGAGGCGCCCGCGGCAGCCGAGCGCTGCGGGGGGCGGCGGGGCCGGTACCGCCGCCTATTGTTCATGCGGCCCGGCGCGGCCCGGCAGCGGGTGCCGCGGCCCGGCCCGGATCCGCCTCAGCCCAGCGCGGGAAGGGGTGAGGGCGGGCGGCGCGTGCCGCCGGGCCGCCGCCGCATCCCTCTCCTCCCCGCCCGCCTCCGCCTGCCGCCGCGGCCGCGCATCCCGGAGCCACCTGACTCTCTGGCAGCTTCGGCGGCGGGAGGGGAGGGGCGGCCCGGCTCCTCGCCGCGATTGGCCGCCGCTCACGCCCGTCAACGCCTCCCTCTCACCTGATTGAGGGCTCTAGCCCTCTCGGCCACGCCCACAGCCCCTCGCGCCGGAGCCTCGCGCTCACCGGCGTCCCCCCCCCCCCCATCGGCCCCCGCCCCGTCAGCCGCCGCTTCCCATTGGCCTCGCCGCAATTGTCAGTTAAGGGCCCCGAGCCCCGCCCGCCCCGCAGCATCTCGTTGGCTGGGGAAAGCGGCGCGACGCGGGGAGGGCCGAAAGAGGGCGGACGTGAGTGAGCGGGACCACGCTCGCCCGCCGCCAGCTGGAGGGCGGGGCCGGCCGCGGCGTCGCTGGCCAATGACAGAGCGGGCCCTCCATGCCGCGCTGAGGCCGCGGTTTTGGGCGGGGTTGCGCCTGCGCTCGGTACGAGGCCACGAGCGCGCTGCTGGCGGGCGGCGCCATGTCGTGCTGCGGGGAGCGGCGAGGGCGGCGGTGCGGTCGGCTGTAGCAGGGGCACCGTGGAAGCGCAGACGCGGGCCAGGAGGGGCTGCGGTTTCGTTTATCCCCACGTGATCAGGCTGTGCGCCAGCGCAGGCGTTACCCGGGCTTCATGCAAGATTAATGCGGGTGGCTCACCAAGTGAAAAATGAGTAAAAGTGCAATAGTGACAAAAAAAGGGCGGCTTTTCTTCATATGTCATTGCAGGTGTCACTGATAAACCTGCAGGTGAAAAGCCTCATCGTGCAATACCTCCTGACTGGAAGTGCTTGCTTTCCCAACTGCGTGTAATGTGTTCCCACATGAGGTCTTGGGCTTAGTGTCTGTTCAGAGTTTTGCAAAGAGGATTACACAATTCTCATCTGCTAAATGATTTTGGTTTTTTTATTCTGCACTTAAAATGAAGCACTTGGTGGTGTTTTGGAGCTTTTGTTGTTTTTTAATGTACAAGGTGACAGCCAGTACTTCCTCAGTGTTCTGCATGGGACTTTTGTATTTCCCTCTTGCCAGTGGGGCTGGATCTCAGGGTGCACCTTTTCCACCATTCATTTATTACTAAACAGTGTTTTCACCATTAATCTGAGTTTATCCAACGTTACTGCTGCTGAAAGGGACTTCCCTGTGCTGTGTCACATGCCTGACCTGCTTTCCTGATTCCAGCAGCAGTGACTGCGTGGCTCTAGAGTCATTTCAGCTCATTCAGCCATCTGAAAGCTAAGCCACCCTGTAAAGGCAGGGAGATTTCAGTCAGCTTTTCAGGTTGGTCTGACTCGTGTTAGGGCTGTGTGCAAGCATGATCATTAAAGCCAGCACAATATAAGGGCACAGGATGGGATGGGGAATGGCAGACCTCTCCTGTTCAACCCAGTCAGGTTAGCTTGCCTTCCTCATGATGCTGAGGGGTTAACATATGGCTGTATCTGTAATTTTTAAAGTTCAAATAATAAATAATTGAGGAGAAATCTGAAGGAGTGGTGTTAACATCCTTCTTTAAAACACCCTCAGCTGCATCCAGTGCCTTTCTGTCCAGTTATATTAACTGAAAATAACTGCTTCTTTAAACCACACAATGGGGAAATACAGTCCAAAGTGAATATTATTCTTTAAAAATTGTCCTACGAAAAATTTAATGAGACAGCAAAATAAAGGCCTCGTGTCTTTTAGCTGGTTGAAGCATTTCTACAATAGAACACCAAAACCTTTAAAGCAGAGTTACACTGCTAATGGTGAAAACTCTAAGGAAATTGACTTAATACACACTCAGATTGTCTATTGCAGCAACCTAGACAAAGCCCTGCCCTCGTGTGGAGTGCCTTGGTATTGTGGTATGCAGCCAACTTAACTTGTAAAATAGATCTTGATTTTTTCTTTTTTCTCCTTGTGCTTTTTCTTCTTCCATGATATATTTCTGCAGAAATAGTCTCACTTGTGTAGGAAACCCAGAGCAATAAGTACCTGGAGCTGGGAGAGTGGCCAGGGAAATGCTCTGCAGGAGCCCTCATGGGTTTCTACCATTCTCAGAGATTTCTCTTGGCATCATTCACCAGCCATCTCAGAAAGCAGTTTCTGCTTGTAAATATGTGGGCAAACTGGAAAGGCAGTTCATCTATTTATCTTGATCACAAGAGTCAGTTAATGTTAAACTAATATGTCAGTAACTGGCAAAAATCAGAAGAAAGTAACATTAAATAGCATAGGCAGTCTGTGAATGATATTTTAGCTCTTGTGAGATACAGAAAGTTTTGCAATAGTGCACGATTGTCTGATGAACAGCATACATGCTACAGTGGGGGGGGTTGCTATTTGTTTTTTTTTCTTACGGGTTCTCTAAGAAGACTCTACATATTCACGTTATTATTCAAACAAATCTGAACAATGAGAATTAGACTGTAGATTCAAATCTCAAAGTCTGTATCTGAATCCCCATTCAGTGATTCTGAATGTTTGGCAACAGATTTCATCACAATGTGTTTAAAAAGGAGACTAATCTGTAAAATACGGATGATAATCTGAATGTAGTTCAGAATGCCTTCACAATGGAAATTTAGGACCAAGGGTTTTAATGCAGGCTTAGTCTTGCTTTTGTGTTAGAAAACAAAAGTTATTAGAGGAGAAAAGAGAGGCCCATCTATCCCTAGCCTTAGCTTCAAAAACTCTGCCCTGCTGATTGCATTCCATTATTTATGTATATTTAGAACAACCATCTCAGTTTTTGCCCTATCTTCTGAGGATTATTTGTGTGCACTATTAAACTAGTGCTTTCTGTTTTCACTGACACTTTTCCCTCTCTTAACTGGACCTAGCTGTTCTATAACAACATCTTTCTAATGTGCCAGTCCATAGTTATAAACTATACTGGTTATCAAAATCTTGGCACTCCAGACTCCTTGTCTGTGTGCTCTGTATAGAAAAAAAAAAAAAAAACCTAGAGAAGAAAAAACAAAAAAGGTCCAGAAGGAAGAAACAGTACCAGTATCTACAATGTAGTACTAGAATGTCACTACTGTTGTTCCAACTATAGCTTTGATGAAAACACATCTCTGCCAGCACACTTAGAAGGTATAAAAGATTAAGGAGATGGTCCTTGGTGTGTCTCCTTAGCATAGCTCACTCCTTATGCATTCCATGGTAATTTATATTGCATCTTAAATTATCCTGGCACTGAAGCATTTGGCTTTTATACATTTCCTAGGATGTGTGTCAACTGTGTTCCATAGTTATAACCACAGATAGAGCCATATAAAGCAATCTGGAGATGTGCGTAATGCCAGCAGACAGTTATTTGATAATGTCTCCTCAAATAATGTCAGCTTCACTGACGAATTGATTCTTCTATCATTATAAATTGCCTCAGTGCATGGCTGTAAAACTGGACCGTGCTTTTCCCTCACTTTAGAAAAGTACTGCTTTACCAGCATCGCTTTAATGTAGGTTTGCTCTTCATGCAGGGGAGAGGTAAGCCACTGGCAACAGAAGCTGTACAAGCTGTGCTGACTAGGAAAGGGGCTGTGAATCTGGGACTTCAGCATCTGAGTCAGTACAAGAGGGAGCTCTGCTCTGCTTCATAAAATATATATTCTAATCTCCCAGATGGCTACATACCATCATGGAGCAGATGACCTGGAAAATAAAACAAGATTGAAAACACTAGTTAGTGGAAATTCTGGGCTAAAATGGGAGTTTCTTAAAGATTCATCTTTTTAACTCACAGGTCACAGTATGATTTCACTTGTGCCACACAGCACTGATGCATTTATCAATATTTATATAAGAAAAATAAATCAGAGAAAGTGTTTCAAATGAGCTTTATAACTGCACTAGAAGATACACAGCTAAGAGAAATTACATCTAACTTTGGTTTAGTGATGACTTCAATTTACATGCTATATATTTTATTGCATTCCAAGCTGCTTGTATAGCCCCTATTTCATTTGGCATTGGTGAGCTGGCAGTCCTGCAGAGGAACACCAGCACTGCCCTACAGATAACACTGTGCCACATTCATGAAAATTTGTGAAACAGTAATATAAGCAGCTTGAATAGCAGATCTGAGAGAAGTTACTGCAAAGCAAACACTCCCATTACTGCTCAGCAAAGACATGAGGACAAACCTTCTTCTGAAAGAGCACTGAAATCTTTACAGCAGCTGCCATGTTGCCAGCACTGCCTGTGGCACCATGGCGTCCCCTAGAGGCCTCATGCCCAAGGAATGACCAAATCTTTCTTTGTGAGGACAGTTTTTGTTTAAAAAAAAAAAAGCCTCAATACCAAGAGAAGAGCTAGTTCCTGGCTTTGTTTACATTTTGAGTTTGTCAAACACTTTGAGTCAGTTTTCAGGTTACTGAAGCCATCTTTGAATAACTTCAGAAACACAACACAAAAATGAAGAATCCTGCACATGAACTCAAACCACCAGAGACAGATAGAAACCTTATTCCTAATTCTAACAGTGCATTAGAAATATGACATACAAAGGCATAACATCCATTACCAATACTAGCATTCATATCCGATTTGTAACTTCATACCCAAACCATAACTGTGCTAAATCTGTCATTATAAAGGTGTCAAATTAGATGGCTTTTCATTTGGAGTAAAATAACCCTTCTCCTTATTGAGGCTAGTGTCTTTTCTCTAATATGTATTCAGTAAGTTCACTCGCTACTCAGAATAATAAACCTCAGTCTAAAATACAACCAAATAGTCAGGGCTGT